GTATGATGTACCTATTCTGTACTTTGTTTTAATTAAAAATGTTACCATACATAAGTAGTAACATTTTTTTAAAAGTTGTTGTGTAAAGGCTAACAAAAAATATACAAAAAAAACAAAAGTACAGACTTCGATTTATTATTGATCGAAGGGTACAGATGTTTTTTTTTCCGAACCAGTGGTAAATTAAAAAAATGACTTTCAATAAGTATTTTTATAATCTGTATTGAATAAAAAAGTTTCTGTTTGTGTTTATGTCGTGTCGTTCACTAGGTGGTAGGACAACCTTTCTGATGAGGAGTTCGTCTGTGTAAGTGACCTATTTCTGCCACCCTATAAAAAAAGTATAAATTACTAACATAGATGTAACTTTTTCTCTACTAACAATTCCTATGGATTCAAGTTGTCCGAAATAAACAATTTTTATTTTTATTTGTTTATAGCAGTGTGAGGGGTAGGTATAGAGAACCAGTATAATTCCACGCTGCGAGACATTCCATCTCCAGACATCTCATCTAACAGGTGGACTGTAAGTTCGTTTGCCACTTCAGTTTCATAGATAAAAGTGTATCGTGTGTAGAGTGAGACATATACAGTTACAGCTCTCACCACACTGCCATAGATGACCTGACAGAGAATGGCATTTAGTTCACCTATATGTGCAATGAAGAATTATCTATCTATGCATATATTTTTAAATGTGCTACAGATTGAAAATGTAATTCTCCTAATCAAAGAAGAAACGACTTTTTTATTTACCTTTGACTCTTTCCCCGGTCTCCGGTCTTAATCTTTCATTTATAAGACCTCCTATAAAAATACCTATACTTTTAATCCTTTTTGAAAAAACGAGTTGGGTAAAAAAGAAAAAACGCAAAAAATAATCATCAACGTAAGAAACGTGATTGAAGACGAGAAAATGATTTCTGTTAAAAATCAACTTAGCACGGTATGCCGTGAAACAGAATTCTACCCACACGTACCTCGTTAGTTTTAATTGTTGGTGACGCGCTTCGAAGTGGGTGGTGAGTTATTTAACAATTTCGATTGAATTTAAACTTTTTTTTTAATTAATAGCGCATAAATGAGTCAAGGTACTCTTTGATAAGTATGTGTCGTAATCGCCACGGTGTGCAGGCGTTTCTGCGATCGTAGTACGCGAGATATTTTGCATTTGTTTTGAGTGATCCGGCTGGAAAAATCACGAAATTTATACCGCAGTCTATGTGAGAAAATGAGATATGATATTTCCTATACTTCCTCTTACGATACTTGTGGTGTTCTAGTTTTTTTAAACGCGGTCGCTGATCGTGAGGTGGTAAGGCTGATGGGGTTAGGAAAAAATTGTTGTTGAGGTTTTCTTTCAAGAAATTCTCGGTAACAGCCCGTATCTATGAAGTCAGCGGTGTTTTACCCCTTAGCCTCGGAAACCACGAAAGCCGTTGGTCCTGCGCTTGATCTCTCTCCGGTCGTGTCGGATTGCCGTTCCATCGGATTATGCGAGTAAAGTGACTGTGCTTGCTCATACAAAATTGGTCACTTTAAGAATTATAATCTTCTTTATTCAGGAAATTTACACACATAAGCATAACCAATAACATCAATGAATTTAAAATAAATTTCCACAATATTAGAAATAAATAATGTTAATCCAAAATAACAATTTAAATATAATGTTATAAAATGATAAATTATCACGCTCATGCTGGATATGACCAAAGCTTTTGATCTTGTTGACCACGAAATTCTATTAAAAAAAAATTGAAAGTTACAATAAGAGGTACGGCTTACACATGGCTAAGCAGTTACTTGCAAGGCCGAAAACAATGCATAGAAATAACTTGGCTAACGCAAGCACGACAAAACAGCATATTTACCAAAGAACTACATCGTTCACAGTTTAGATTCAATGACTGTGGTATCCCTCAGGGTAGTATTTTAGGACCTTTATTATTTTTGCTATATATTAATGACTTGTCTAAAATAACCAATCATAAATGCATCTTGTTCGCGGACGACACAACTTTTATATTTAAATGCACCAAAAAAGACATATATGAAACCGAAATAAATAATTCTATTAATACTATTGTGACATGGCTTAATTCAAATAATCTTTTACTTAATATTGACAAAACAAAAATAATACAAATTGGGAATTACAAAATGGAACCTATAAATATGAATATAAAATATGAAAATTCAAAGATAGAAAATGTTGAATCAGTTATGTTTTTAGGTATAAAAATTGACAAAAATTTAAACTGGAAGCCTCACATTGACCAGATTTGTACAAAATTAAACCGGTTTGTATATGCTTTAAAAAGATTGAGAAAAACAATATCACAAAAAGCAGCCCTAGCTGCTTATCACGGTTATGTGTCGTCAGTATTATTATATGCTCTGCCTTTGTGGGGAAATTCTGTTCATATGATTAGAGCGTTTAAATTACAAAAGAAATGTGTGCGAGCGATATGTGGTGCGTGGTTTCTTGATAACTGCAAGCCTTTGTTCAAAAAGATACGCATATTGCCGTTGCCATGGATGTATATTCGAGAAATATGTATTTTTGTAAAGCGACACCCGAACTACTTCAAAACCCACGCTGAATCTCTCGAAAGGCAAATAAGGCATAAAAATAGATTATTTCATCCCAAATGCAGCTCTAGATTGTATGCAAATAGTGCTCCTATAATGGCTATTAAAATATATAATAAATTGCCCAATAACTTAAAAGAAATGCCTTTGAATAAATTCAAAATTGAGATTAATAAATGGCTTCATGACAAGTGTTATTATAGTGTTAAGGAATATTTTAATTAATTGCAATATTATTTAATGTATTATATGATTTATTTAATCTTTTGACATATATGTACAATTAAATTTGATTATTTTAAGATATATTTGCACACCGGTACAACTCCCGGTAGAATATTATTGAGACTTACTCTTATACTAAATACCTGTATTACCTAAACATTTTATTCTGCAAATAAAGATTTTACTTTGACTTTGACTTTGACTAAATTCAACAGTCAGTTTAAATAGGCAGTAATGTCAGTATATAAAATCACAAATAATAAACGGCAAATTCAGTCTGGAGGACATTGTTAATGTTTAAGAATGATATCATTTAGATATCATTTTAAAATGTTGCAATAAACCAGGCCGCGGTTAGTTTAAAATTATTAGTAGTAAACTACAAAAAATTAGGAATAATAAGTCAATAAAACTAGAAAAAAATAACGACGAAACGGCAGTATTATACTTTTGTTTACGTTGGTATTCTGTAAATCGAGGCTCTGTCATAGATATACGGGCTAAGAAAATATTTTTTTATACAAACCTTAAATCTATACATTAACCATTATTCTACATATACACAATACCATGTATCCGAATTATTTGGAATGCCTTGTGCAAACCCATATTATATCCGTATATATGGTGTATCCTCGTGAATATAAACTGAAACTTCAAAGTTCTCGGTATTTGTATGCACTATTCCATTATATAAGTAAAGATATTACAAAAATAGTTATTAGAGCTGCTAATACATGGTCTGGCTAAAAGTAAGAATATATTCCTAATTATTTTATCATGTTACTAATTGATTGAAATTTAATAACCATTTATAACGTATCTACAATCTCTTATACAAAAGCTGTAACTACACGTTAAAATATAAGATTCACAATTCAGTTTAATCATTTTCAAAATAAAATTTTGAAACTAGGCAAAGCATTAAATACAAATCATGGATTGTGTTACGTTGGTCTCATCTAACTTTCACAGTGCAACGTGTCAAGGCCGACCTCTGCCATAGGAATGATATCGTGCTTCAAATCTATTGTCTGTTCGGTAGCTCTGTTTGTGGGTGAAGGATGAAGGATGGTCGCGACGGTTCTTGATGATGTACAATTATTTACATTGTCATGCAATCTGTCGCTAATGGACGGTCCGCAGCGATCCTTAATGCTTTGTTACTCATTAGACATAGTAGTTGTCGTGTTATAACGCTGTTAATAAAACCATTACCCTACTTAGTTCCATGGATATCGCAAAATGCGTCTATGGAAAAAGTTACCTCTCTTTAACTAGATGTAAATTAGCAAGATTTAACACGGGAAGCAACGTCACGTTTGATACGGCAAATCTGACTGCTAAGCGGGATGAGTGTAATAAATGTTCAGGATATGGCCACGCCCGTGTTTAGTGTATTTTTGGTGTACTGATGATGATGTACATATATTCATATATTATGATTCTGCCTTTTGAGATAAATGGATAGCTTTTGCATGAGATTTATATTTGCATTAAAATCAATCTTTTTGTGAAAGTCTAAACAAATAATTGTGTTATGTAATAAATAAATATTGGAAATCCATTTAAAAGTGCAAAAATGGAAGAAATTTATCTCTCTCTCTCACGCATGGTACCCATGCACTGCATTTTGATTCTTAATCGAGGATAGAATTGAATGTCTATGGGCCACAGCATCCACTTACAATCAAGTGGCATGTGAGCTCGAATATCACCCTTATTCTATAAAAAAGAAAAAAATCAATACGTATTATCGTTTTATCGTCGTCTTCTTAGTGTCGTACGTAACAAAAATGGGTTATTTAAAGCCAAACATGTCAGTAATTATATTTAATAAATTTATTATTATATAATCTTTATTATTTAGTATCTATTAAATCTTTTTAATATTTAATAAATAATAAAAAGATAAGTGTCAGATTTTAAGTGCCCATATTAACTAAAAGTTTAAATTATTAAATAAACCATAAATCTCCATATTTGTGGAATGCTACTCGAGGAAGTTTAGTTACAAGAAATAGCTTAGACGAAATCTTTACATCTTCACCTTCAATAAAAAACACAAATTACGTGTATTTTTGTCAAAAATGGAATAAAATAGTGTGCTATATGCTTAGTGTTATTAATTGCATTTTGTATACAAGTAAAATAAGAAAACATATTTTTGTCTTTCACAGGCAGCGCAAGAAAAACGACAACGCAAAGTAGTGCTAACACAACAAGGGACTCACAACTGTTGTCTCTGCTCGCCGCCAGACGGCGACAGCTGCTAAGTGGAAGGTTGACAACACATATCAATACTTTAGCTACGTTAGCACATAAACCACACAAGTTAGTATTTACTTATTTAATAATTAATAATTTATAATAACTATAAAACTATCATTCAAAAATTGCCAAAAATGACTTTAATTTAGGAAGTGTTGTAAAAATATGTTTTTTTTTTACATAGAAATATAAGTAAGGATTGTTTATGGTACCGAAGGAATAATTGTACATGAGGCGGGGTCGGTGGATTTTAGTTTGTTATAATCCGATATGACGTAGTCATTAACAATTTTTTTCATTTATTTTATTGTTATGTATTAAGTTTCCGCAAGCTATTTGCAATAACATTTATTGATCTGATTTTTTTCATTTCAGAGGAAACACTACATTTGCACAGCTTGAAATTCGTGATTCAAACAGTTCCATTGTAAAGCGGATAACATTTGACAATTCAAGTAATGAGTTATCCCCAACATTAAAATTAGTAGCTTCTGACGGCGCGAAGGAAATACGACAAGATGTTAAACCACACGAGATTAGGCATTTATTTATCCCGAAAATATATCAGGAAAATAAAAATAGGGCTGGATTCATAAACAATAGGAGAAGAGATTTATTTAATATCAATAAAACAGTTATTATTACTATTTCAACGACAGAAAGTGGTGTAGTTTATGTTCCACCAGATAAATTAGAGGGTTCAGAAAAAGAAGTTGATTTAGATCCTGATGAAGAATTTCAGGTAGATGAATCAAATCATGGCTTGTACCTGCTTAACTATTCAGACACAGAAAATGTGACACAGAACCTACTTACTGTAAGTGAAATAAAGACGTCTAATGATGTTAAAGAAAAAGATAATACTACACCTTTTAGTGTGCCCACTACACAGGCAGTACTAATTAGTAATGTTACACTTGATGCAAACGTATACTTTAAAGATGAAAAGCCAGAAACAAACACAATTGCTAATAGCACAGATATCCAAAGTAATATTAATATTAAAAATGAAAGTGATAAAGGAAATCAAACTTTATTTATGTCAGATGAAATTATAATCATTTTAGACCCCTTGAAACAGAATTACCAGATGATGAAATGGCTCCTTTTATATTCTTTGGACAGAAATTGGGTGGTCCAATCATTAGCGATAACCTGACGAATTCTCCATCTTTGTCAGCATCAACTAAATCAGTTAATTTTATAGTTGCACCTCCTGAAAAGCGAAAGTTTAATTCAAGATATTCAGCAACTGAAAAATATAAGAATACAAATGCGGGTGAAGACGAAATTAATGAAGATATGGACGTGTCAGTGGTCAAAAATGTTATAGAAAAAAATAAGATTAGAAATACTGTCAAAGGCCCTGCACCAGCTCGACCTGTTGGCTTAGTTAATGCGTATAGAAAATACTCCAGTACTACACAAACAACACTCAAATCACCTAATATAGCAGAGTTATACGTCACTGAACCAGTATTGCAAAACGTGACTCCCAGTTCTTTTGGAAATATGACTATTTACAATAATACGCTCAAGGAAACTGTAAAACATAATGTGAATATTACAAAAGATGCTTCGTCTAATAGAACGGCTACTAATTCAGCACCAAAAAACTTTACTAGAAGCTACTTTAATTTAAGAAGGCGTCCTGCAAAAGTATCTGCATCAAGCACTGAAAGTGTAACAGCAACAACATTAAACGCTACTACAGAAAAGGCTTCTACGTCTGTCTACACAGCAGTTGTTACATCTGTGTCTATAACATCGTCAATGAAAGGACAAAATAAAACTGACAATATGAAAGGATCGGAAAATGATACAATTGTTGACATTGTAAATGATAATATTAATGCCACCTTACCAAAAGAGTTGTTAATAAATGATAATAAAACTTCTACTATTCCACCTACGACAGCTAGACCATACAGACATAGAATTAGGATACGAACTACAACGACTGAGAGTAGCTTCAATCCAAATCCCGTTCAAACTCTCCCAGCTGTTACCCTAAAGCCTAATCCGTTAATTATTAGTGAATTTACTACAAAAATTCCAGACACGCAAGCAACAACGACGGCGAAGTTGCCTGAACAATTAGCGAGCTTCAACCCTCAGAAAAATTATGATAATTCGTCTTACGTAAGCACAGCAAAACCGAGGAATATTTTAAGAAGGCGAAGACCAACGACAACAACTACAAAGTTGCCGATGGTGACAAAAAATGAAAATATTCTTACCATTTCAATACCAACAACAACTTTATCACCAGTTTCAACATCTACGCATGGAGTAGTCATAGCAACCATATCATTAAATGATAATTCAAAAACATCATTGGTTTCTGGAGCCGCGCCGGTTTTCATTTCGAAAAATGTATCCAAAATAGAAAATAATACGACTGTGGTCAATACAACGAGAGGAAAAGATACAGACAACGTGGCTCAAAACGAAGAAGTCGTAATAGAAGCTGAAAAAACTTACACAGCTTCGTATGTTTTGGCTGGTCTTGGATTTCTTCCTGTAGGAGCAGTCATAGCTTTCTTTTTACGAAACTTTTTAAATAAGAAGACCAAAGAAATTGACACAGAATATGAAGGGTACTTTAACGATGGTGAAATCAAGAAAGAATCACCGATAACACCGGTAGCACGTCCGCCTATTTCTACTCCGAGTAAACCGGACCAAAAGTGGGAATTCCCAAGAAATAAACTTAGATTGCAAACATTATTGGGCGAGGGTAATTTTGGACAGGTGAGTTATTTTCTAGTTTTTACTAATTTAATATGTTTGTTGGACTGTTCTTTTGAAGCCGGTGCATGACGAGTTTTATAGCGCAAGATTTCGTTTTTTTCGTCTTAGTTTCTGGTGTATTATGGTAATCATATCAATGCGATATTCAGTACGGCGTATATATAGGAGTATGACTTTCGCTTACATCACATTCAAACAAATATGTCATTGTACAATTTTATAACAGATCATCATAGTCTGATTTCTATAAAATACAAAAATAGTAAATGAGCTCTTGACGGCTCCGTGGCGAAGTCGCTTAGCATTAGATTGAAAAAGTATTTTTTTGGCCTACAAATAATTGTGACGAATTTGGATGCTTGTCAAAACTTTACACACACCTGCATAATGATTCATGTATAAAAATAAATGTGTTTTTATTAGGTATGGAAAGCTGAAGCTGATGATCTAAATGGTCATGATGGGTTAACACGATTAGTGGCAGTGAAGACGATTAAGGAGTCAGCATCTCAAAAAGAGAAGCAAGAGTTGCTGCATGAGATCTACATTATGCAAAAGATTGGCACTCACCCCAACGTTGTGACGCTGCTCGCTTGTTGTACTGAACAAGGTTAGTTATACGAATCGATACATATAATGAATCTTTATAAAATTCGTGTCTGTAATACCAATATTCTTGGAAAAATCAAGTCTAGGGGATTAAACAAAGGTCACTGAAGTCAAATTAGTGCTTTCTAGAATTTTCGTCAGTCTGTTTTGACGATTAACGCAGAAATTACACAATATATTTCCATGAAATTTTGTATGTAGGTACAATATTTCAAGTTAAGTGATCCGGGAAAATTTATTGTCTAATTTTTATCCGATTACGTAACTTCAAAAAGGAGGCTCTACGAAAAAATTCAATAAAAAATTGTGCGGTGGTTGTAAAACACTACACTTTTTTGACTGCGTCGTTGGCTTAGTGGTCGTTAACGTGACAGCTGATCAAGCGTGGTTCATAATTGAGTTAAAATAGCGGGACGAGCAAGGAAAAATCAATTATTGCGTTTTTCTGTCAAGAAATTCTCATTAGCAGCACGTAAAGTCCATCGCCTTTACTTTCTCTGGTTGTGTTGGTTTACCTTGCCATGAGACTATGAGAGAGAGGAAATAGAGAGTGCAACTGTGCTTGCATATACTCTTGGGCACTATATATAATCCCGTCCTGCGCAGATGGCTATTCTTCGTAGTGGTCTGGCTGCCGTGACCGAAATTTGTTTGCATAGGACATTGTTATTACCCTTTGTTCGTATCGGGTATGGTTGGTTTGGACACGCTAGTACTGAGGCGAAAACTTCTGTTCATACTGCACTATTATTCACTGCTGCATAATACGGTGGAAAAACGGGCATGCGCGATTCATTTTCAGCGACACAATCGCTAGGCACGAAAATCTTTGGCGATATATAGTAATTAAATTTAAATTTTATTTTTGTTTATGTATATCAAATTAATAATGATTCATTTTAAAGTTGTTTGCTATTTTATTATTTTCTAATTTTGTCTCTTATTTCAATTCAAATTGCTCATTTTTTATTTAAAAACACTGTAGTTTGTATTTCGTGCAGAAAATCATTTAATATTCATTATAATTTTACAAAGTTCTAATGCTGAACAAAGGTTCACCATAAAGGTATAGCACGGATTTATTTGTAGAGGCTATATATCATTCGCAATTTTTATTATTATTTCGAATCCTTAACCGGAAGAACCGACAACTGACGGGAAAGAAACGTTCTCAAGTGGAAGCCTCGTACTTTTAAATAAAGTGTAAGGTTGCCACCTGAACTGACCGGATGAAACAGGAGATGGACAGCACAATCTTCGTGTTTATCACCATCATCATTATTACAGCCCATCACAAGTTCACAGCTGAAGATATGCCTCCCCCAAGGAATGCCACAAAATAAGGCCCTGAGCCACCTGTATCTGTTGGTTGTTATTTTACTTTTAATTGACTTTCTAAAATTTATTTTGATGTCGCATTTTAAAAAATAAGAATTACATCCTGGAAGATTTTCAATAAAAGTAAACATTTTAATAATTTTTGTTTCAGAGCCCTATCTTTTGATAATGGAGTATGTTATGTGCGGCAAATTACTGACTTATCTCCGCGCCCGACGTTCGCGGCCCGATCGGTTCGGCGGCGGCGGTGCACTCGCGTCTCGAGACCTCACAGTTTTTGCTTACTGTGTCGCTCGGGGCATGGAATATATTGCCTCTAAAGGGGTATGTACATCGTTCAACTAGCAAATTACTCCGCTAATGATGTGTAAATTAAAGAACTTTAGGCAATTGTTACTTACGAGAAGTTATCTTATTAATGTCTGGTTTTTGAAGTTTTTTTTTATATCTATACAAATAAATGAAATTGAAGTGTTTGTTTGAGATATCAAAATAACATATTTTTTAATAAATGCATATGAAAGTATACACGGTACTGATAATTTCGGAAATCAAGGAAGTGACACAACATTACTATTTAAAAATATATTTAATGCTTTTCGAAGTATTCTCCGCGAAATTTGACACATTTTTCTATACCATGGAACAAATCATTGAAGCAACCATTCCATTCGGAAGTTGGGGTCTCCAAAATGGCCGTTTTGTAGGCGTCCACAGCTTCTTCAGGTGATGAAAATCTCTGTCCACGCAATTTATTCTTTATTTTAGGGAAAGTATAGAAATCATTAGGGCTTAGGTCGGGGCTGTACGGCGGGTGGTCTAATAATTCTATGTTTTCTTGCTCTAAAAACTCTTTTTCTGTGTGCGGTGTGAGAACTCGCATTGTCGTGATGGAGGATGATGCGGCGGTTGCAGTTCTCTTTACGGAATTCAGAAACGACTTGTGGCAAACAAATGCTAGCATAACATTCTGCATTAACCGTTCTTTATCCCTCAAGAGGAATAGTCGTAACATGGCCGGTTTTGGAGAAAAACGTGGCCACCATTTTTTTTGCAACACTCCGTGAACGAACAATTTTTGTTGGCTTTAACTCATTTTCGAACACCCAAACTCGTGACTGGTTTTTTGTTTCGGGTTCGTACGCATATATCCAGGATTCGTCACCTGATACGATGTTGTATATAGCATTTGAGGATCCTGCGTGGAATCTTTCGAAAGTTTGACGCACCAAGTAACGCGAGCCGCTTTTTGCTCTTCACAGAGCGAATGGGGTATTCATCGGGAAAACAACTTTTTTACACCTAATTGTTCATACAAGATTATTTGTATTTGACTCATGCCAATGTCTAAAGTTGCCTGAATTTCGCGGTATGTCACATGTCGATCTTCCTCAATCAGCTTACGCACAATTTAATCTGAATCAACGTTTTATTGGGTGACTGCAGTTTTTGGACGACCATGACGGGGATCATCACTGAGCTTGACACGTCCACGTTGAAATTCAGCAAACCAGCGGTAAATTGTGGTTTTGGATAGGGCTTCATCACCAAATGCAGAAATCATCCGGTCAACACACTGTTTTTGTGTTAAACCACTTCGAAAGTCATAATAAATCATCGCTCTTGAATTTTCTCGACTCAATTCCATTTTCTCAACGACTAAACAAGTTTGACAAAACCTTGTGAGAAGACCGAGAATCTTTTTTTGTAAATAAATAAATGGTATTCGATTTTTAAAACCAGGGAGTTTTTAATAAAAAAAGATTTTAATGTGACAGGAACAGTGGAAATATTCCATTCCCGATACTTTTAGTGCAGCCTAGTAACAATAAGGCAATTTTAATTTTTTTTTGTATGTCCGTCTGTTCCGGCTAATGTCAGAAATGGCTAAGCCGATTTTGACCGGACTTTCAGGAAACACGGGAAAATTAGAGTTCTGGGCAAAATAATTAAATCCTTGAAATGCAGTCGTAATAAATCCCACGCGAACGAAGTCGCGTGGAGAATCTAATATAGAATAAAGAGTACACAGTCGACCTGATGGTAAGTAGATACTGCAGTTAACAGACATGTACATTTAACACAAAAATCGGTAAAAAACAAAATTCAGATGCGTTGTCACCCCCTGAGAACTTAGATGCAATGCCTCGTTTCCAGTAAAAAGGGTCTTCGATTCTCTGCAAGTCAAGCCGACCCATTTTTTTTTTTTTTTGCGCCCGAAGCAATTAAAGGGCTACCCTGTACGTAGGGAGGCGGAAAATGCATTACGCATACCACGATAGCCGGTCTATCGTGGTTATGGGGGACTCACTGTCCTACCGGGGACCCTAAGTGATACCCCCTAAAAACCGCCTTTAGGGACAGGCAACCGGCTGATTAAGCTCTATTGTGCCTTATCATGAGCGACCCTCTTTTGGGAAAAGAGGGCGCAGGCGGCTAAGTGCCGCTGAGGGAGTACCTACGAAGGCAAATTAATGTCAGATATCACAATAATTTTATTTAATTAGAGTTGGCCTGAGCTGCCAGGAGACAGTTCAGGTCGTTTGAAAGTTTATTAGGCGGGTCCGAGAGAGAGTTTCTCGGCCTGCGGACACGATAGCGAGAGGGGGGTGGGGCTGCATAAGAAGCTGCCTCACGAATTAAGTGGTTTGGGTGCGACTCTGAGGCTTTGAAGAAGTTCTCAGAGAGTTTTTTAAAAAATTGTTGAATTGTTGGGAGCTCTAAGTCCCGATGAAGGTCGGCATTGCGGACGTACCACGGTGCGTTCGCAGCTCGACGACAGAATAGGTTCTGAACTATTTGGAGTTCATTTAAAATGTTAGGGTTTGCGTGGGCAAAGACGGGGCCCGCGTAGGATTGCCGACCCATTCGTGCTACACCCTTAATATAGCTGTAGATTGACAACGGACCCTCCTTGTAGTACGAAGCTATTCTACAATACATATCAGAGTACTTCTACTTTTATTATAATAAAATAGATTTTCTCCTGGTGAGAAATGGACAAATTCACTATCCCATATCGTATCGTAGTGTCCCTTCTTTTTGATAACAACTCAAATTTATAATAAAACTGCGGTTGCTACCTGGCGTGGTGGCTGTGACAACTATCCTCACTCTGAGGCAATCTATGGGGTAGTCCTATATTCGGCAGTGGACGTTTATAGTCTGTAATTATGATGGTTTATTTTTTAAGTTATTTTAAATATAATTCTAATAATATTCTGACAGTAAGAATAGTATATTACATAAATATCTTTATGTTATAACGGTCCTTGGCACTTTAGTGCAAGATATAAAATTTATCGCTTAAATGAAACCTAATTAAGCGTCAAAATAATTATTACTTATTATTTTCAACGTACTTACGAGTATATTGTTATAATTATTTATTTATTACGGACTTATAGTAGGGATTTATGAGGTAATCTACGGGGGAGGCTTTAGTTCGGAGTGGACATTAAGCTGTAACGTACCTAGCGGACTTAGGGAAAGCCGATTGCGCAGTTGGAGTTAGAGACCACGGAGGAAGGCGCGCCTTGTGTTCCTGATGCGCGTCCGACTTGAGTGAGTCCTCACGGCGCATTGCGTTGCGTTGCGTCGTCGCAACACAAATATTTTGACGCATTGCGGGTCATATTAGCGTTGCGTCATCGCAAGTAATCCATATCTAATTCTTTAAGGGTACTCATTTAACTTTGCAAATTAAATTCAAAGAAAAAACGTGTTATCAACGCACAAACAACTGAGCGTTGCCGCTCCTGCGACGCAAGTAGTACACCCTTTCCTCTTCGTCTCGGGGGCTTTCAGTCAGTCGTGTGCATACTATGGTAATTAGTATGTAAAATGACGCAGCTACAGCGCTATATTAACGCAGTGCTGACGCAACGGGCCGTGTGGACTTATCCTTGATCTGTCGTTGCTCCAGCGAGTTGGGTATGCGTAGGCGTCGATGGATGAGAAATGCGAGTTGTTTGCAGATCGTACACCGAGACCTGGCGGCGCGCAACGTGCTGGTGGACCACAACAAGCTGTGCAAGATCGCAGACTTCGGCATGTCACGCTGCGCGGGCGGAGGCGCGCGGGCGGCACGCGGTGCGCTGCCGGTGCGCTGGATGGCGCCCGAGGCGCTGCTCTACAACGTCTGCAACCACCAGACCGACGTCTGGGCCTTCGGTATCCTGCTCTGGGAGATCGTCACTTTAGGTGAGGCGGCTCATTAAAACGCTTTTTTCTTTTTATTGGGATTACCAACAGATGACACATAACACTGACAAAAACATAACTCAACAATGCGACGTAAAAGCAACACAAAAGCGTTATAAACATCAATATATCAGCCCACATAGAACTTAGAGTTCTGTTATAGGCGTATAAGAGTGTAGAAAAGAGGTTGTATCCTTATAAGAGTGGTTTATGAGTTATGATAGAACTCAAGCTGTATAAAATCTATAATATGGGATCTAAGTAAGTTTAGGGTTCTTAATCAGAACATGAAAACCCTACTATACAACTATAAATATTTTGTAACACTTTAATCTGATTTTATCATTAAAGCTGCTGAATTTGATTTTTGCGTGCTATTACTTGCTTATTACAGCTTAAGTGTTAATATAGTATCTTTCAAATATTATTTCTGAACAATGGTGTATGCAAAATCTCTTTTAAAACTTATTCTTATGGCGTAATTGTACACTCCTGTAAATACAGTAGTTTTATAAATTCTGTCTATGAGAGTGATATAAAAATAATAAAATAAATAACAGCTATAGTACAATTTTAGTCTGTATAAGTGATAGAATATGGCCATTTTGTAGCCTAATTGCGTGTTCAATATATTGAGATAGTGAACAAATTAATTCGTGGAAAAAAAGAAAAAAAAATGGTGCAGTTAGAAGAAGATTAAAAAGGAATATTTAAATATTACAAATTAAATACGAAATAATAATGATAATGAAGAATATATAAATACTTTAATAAATCAGATAACCAACAGTCAAGAGTCAATCCCATCGACGTCTAACAAAAAGGGTAGGTACCGTAGCAAAAACATTAAACATTGTTTTCATGGTTTGTATTACTTTTAACTGTAGTGTTTTATCTTTTTCTCTTATCACCGATGTTGCTGTCGCTTCTGTTAAGCATGCTATCTAGTTCTCTATCTGCTTCTTCAAATGACGATCTTGATAGCACTTTCACGCGACACCGTGAAGTGTTTCAACAGTCTGAAGGCATACAATTTTCATCCTTGATATTTCTTGGCAACTAATAGCTTTTTTTTGCCATCTTAAAACGCCTTTTGATTCCCACAAACTTGGTACAATGAAAAAGCAATATTTCCTTTTTTCTATGTTTTCCACAGTTTCAAATGTCATATTTTTCTAAAAAGAAAAATAAAACAAGGGTAACAATACACAGTAATAATACTTCACAGTAATTTAACTTAGGTAACAAATAACATTGCTAACTCCTGTGTTTTTGTACCTACGTGACGCTTTTTATGTTATGCTTGTACAGCTACTGTACAGCGCTACTAACGCATAAATCTGTATAGTTTGTACCAATTTTTTACTTATAAGAACTGTATAAGCGCTTATACTGCCTTTGTACAACCAGAAAATGCAGCCCCTAGTATAAAAAATAACTTCAATACAGCTCGAATACAGCTTGCATGCTGCTTGGGCGGCTACACGCTATGTGTCCTTCCTCTTACAGGTAACCACAACTTACATAAGTAACGAAGTGATTTTTATAGGAAACAAATAGTAATAATAAACATACAAGAAAACTGGATTTGCTACAGCTACAGGTTGCGGATTTAATACTTAAAGTATATATAATAATAATATCTGGTTGGCTTTTTAATTATTTACGTATTGTTTACTTTATGTTATTGGTTAGCCTAATAAACATAAGAAAACTATTTCAAATTTTATGACATTTTTCTAAAATTCTTACGGATTTAATTTGAACCAATATTTCTACTTCCTCACAACAATGTTTTTTTTAACTGTGTGTCAATAAAATTAGGATATGATGGGGCTGACATACACATACACATGGCATACGTTCTAGATAAAATCGCTAAATAAAAAAAATATGAAAAAATAATCAGCTAAGAATCGCATCACATCACATCACTACACTGGGAAAGGCATACCACCGTCCATAATACGACACGCAGTTGGCCTCTGAACGAGCCATCCTCAGGTGAAGTAGACTGCGGTGTCTGACCGGTAAGACTAAATGATGGTTCCACACTGTACATGAGCCTCTTCTAGAATAAAAATAGTTTTGTTATTACCGACACGAAAATTTAAAAACTTTGCCACAAACATTGCCGGTTTAGGTACTTTACAACTGATATAAAGATTATGACGTCATACATCTATTGAAGGCAATGAGATATTTCTGGTATTTTCATTAACATTTGACGTAACAGTTTGAAATTTTTTATGATTAAAATTATGACAACATTATAATATTTTGTCTTAAGACACTTTATTTTGACGGTATTATCATTTATCATATTTTTAGATGACTTCTTAAATTTACGCGAACACTACACATTGAATAAAACTATTATTTACGGATTTTATCGCGTTTAATTACTTTAATTTATTTTTATTATTATCTCGACGTTTCGGGTGCTTTACAGCACCCATGGTCACGGGGGGGACTGAGATGTTTGACGTCCCAATGTCATTGTTAGCCCGGCTACCTTCAGTTTTTGAATATTAATTTTTGGTCCGATTTACGCAAAACGAACTTACAGTATCTTGAAGTCTTGCAGTGGTATGCTTGGGTTTGGGTTTAATTTTGTTAATTATAGGATCCCAAGCAGATGGCAGCACCCAACCATCTTCTCTATTGAAATTAGGATGTTTTTTAATTTCAATAGCCTCACGTATCATCCTTGGTAGGAATCGGTGTTCTTTTGCGAGGACTTGTGGTTTATCAAATCTGATGTAATGGTGGGGACGATCCTGAACATGTTCACAGACTGCAGACTTCCCGGAGCGTCGGTGCTTCACGTCAGCTATATGTTCTTTCACGCGGGTTTTTATGGATCTTTTTTGTTTGACCTATGTAAGAGAGACCACATTCACAATCTAACTTGTACACTCCTGCATCTTGCAGAGGGATATTACACTTGACAGATGGTAAAAATTGACTAATCTTCTTCGGCGGCTTGTAGTATGTTTTAATGGAAGCTCGCTTCAAGATGTAGCCAACCTTGTCTGTGACTCCTCTGACATATGGTAGTACAGCAGGCACACGCTCGACTGTGGCCGGCTTCACTCGGTCACTGTGACGTAGGTGCGGGATCCGAAGCTTCTTGTCTTGCAACACTTGCTTGACATGCTGAAGTTCGGCGGCCAGGTGTTTGCTGTCACAGATCCCTCGTGCTCTCTGAAACAAAGATTTACCCACGGTAGCTAACTCGAGATAATAATAAAAATAAATTAAAGTAATTAAACGCGATAAAATCCGTAAATAATAGTTTTATTCAATTTTTAGATGACTTCCAAAGTATAAGGTTTTCGAATCAATTGACTATTCTTTTATTTGTCAGTGCTCATTTCCATCTTCAGCAGCAATACCACTTTACGTCAGGGATAGTAACCGAGCACTGGCTTATAAAAATAAAAATAAATGTTACGCCATACATTCCTCAATAGTAAATTCGTCTTTACTATGTGGTAGGAATATTCGTGAACTTAATCAACGAACAAGGAAGAGTTACAGTTTTTTTTAAATAAACAAACACATAGTCTACATTCACAAATAGTGATTGTTACCCATAGCTACCCATATCTACTTTCGGTTAAGATTCAAAACGCAATCGTCACTCCCGAATGCTTAAATGACTCAATACCGGTTAAAACGTTTTAAATTCTTTATAACTGATTTTGCAAGGCCAGGATCACGATCTCACAGAATACCAGCGTAAAATAGCAGCGTAATACTGCTGTGTTTCGTATGGTAAGTGAACCGAAGACCCTTTTTACTGGAATCGAGGCATTTCATCTTAGTCCTCAGGAGTGACACCGAATTTGCAATTCAATTCTTAATTGAGGATAAATGTAGATGTTTATGTGCTACAGCATCAACTTACCATCAGGTGGACTGTGTGCTCGTTTGTCACCCAATGCTATAAAAAAAGTAGTCGTTCAAACCGAATTTCAGAAATGGCGGCTAATCTCAATGGAGGCTAGCCATCTGCGCAGAACAGGAATATAGCATATGCGTAAGCACAAATTCAGTCTCTATTCCCTAATTATCATAGTCTGATGGGACTGCAACTCATCACACTCGTACTGAGATCAGGCGCAGCACCACAGGCAGTCGGCACAGCAGTTTTATTGTTTTTGTTGTATTTGTGTTGTATATGTTAAGATGCAGTGTGGCTTCACCGCGTATATTCTTTTACACAAATTCATTTGTCAATTTTAACATGACTCCCCATTAAACCAAATTTTACTATGTGCATTAAATTAACAATACAAAATCAAAAAATTTCATGAACATAATATCCCTAATCACAGATTATCATATTACAGGCTCAACGCCCTATGCAGCCATGTCGGGACGAGAAGTGTTGGCTGCTGTTACTGAAGGATACCGTCTAGAAAGGCCACCTCATTGCAAACCACAGCTATATCGTGCCATGCATTCCTGCTGGCATGCCGACCCCTCTCAAAGACCCACCTTTGCATCCCTCAAAGCCCAATTAGCAGAACTACTTGATAATGAACCTTCCGAAGGAAATTATGTGGATCTAGATTCTTTCTATCAAGAATCATCTGTGTACAGCGACCCATCAGCAATTATTAATGACGAAGATGGCCTTTCAGCGGAATATGACAGGGAAAGGAGATGCTTTAGAGAGTAAGTATTACTTAAGTTGAAAATGATCAAATTTAATTTTATAAAAATGATTTTAAAATTAGTATTCTACTTTCATGAGATCGGTTCAGTTATTACCGTAACAGTGACTACTTATGGTAATTAATATTGCGGACAAGCTAACAGAGGCGCAAATATATGGCTACAGGGTGTACAAGTATTATATATACATGTAGAACTATGAAGGAAGCCTATATATACCAGACACATAGTACTTTTAAAAGTCTTTAATGATTTTTTTAAAGGATAGGGTGACAAACTACCACACAGTCCACCTGATGGTGAGTGGTTGCTGCGACCCATAAACATCTATATCTATCCTCGATTACAAATCAAAATGAAGATGCGTTGTCTAAGTGTTTGTGACTAAGATGAAATGCCTCGTTTCCAGTAAAGAGGGTCTCCGGTTTTCTACACTCACCATATGAAACACAGCAGCATTAAGCTACTATTTTTCGCTGGTATTCTGTGAGAGCGTGGTCCTTTCCCTGGTCGAACCGATCCATCCGTGCTACAACTATACTACTAATATAACTGCAGCATGGCTCTTCTTCTTCTACCTAGCGTTTATCCCGGTTGCTCATCCCGCCAACGCGGGATAACTCAGAGTCCGCTTTCCTACACTTCCTCCTCTACTTTGCCCGGTCTTCGGCGTCTCTCGCAACTAGCCCATTGGCGCGCATGTCATCAAGCTAGCGTTTCTTGGGCCGTCCTCTACTTCTGGTACCAGATAGGGTCATGTCCAGGAATTTGTTTCCCACGTAGCTTGCCGGTTGTCGTAAGACGTGGCCGTACCAGCGGAGGCGACTTTCCTGCAGCTTGTCAGCAATGTCACGGATGTGGAGGCTGCTGCGGATGTATGTATTCCGTACATGGTCTTTCCGCGTGACGCCACACATCCACCGCAGCATGTTCATCTCCGTGACAGTCAACAACTGCCGGTGTCACTCCAGCACCGGCCACGCCACACTTCCGTACGTAAGGACAGGCCTTATGATGGTCTTATAGACCTGTCCCTTCAGCTTGATCGGCATTTTGGGGTCACAAATAACACCCGTCACCTCGCGCCATTTTGCCCAAGCCGCTGATATACGGGCCTTGATGTCGCGATCGATGTCCCCGGACTCATCAAGCACAGATCCGAGGTACCTGAAGTTGGCCGTGCGCTAGACGGTGTCGTCGCCTACACGGAGAGACGTCAGATCTGTGCTGTTGCAGGCCATATACTCCGTCTTCGCCACGTTTAGCTTCAGCCCGCCGTTCTCAAGCGCCTCCTTCCATGCGTGCACGCGTCTGGTGAGCCGTCCTTTGTCCCCATCTACCAGTGCGATATCATCAGCGTACATAAGCAGCCAAGGCTGCGGTAGTTTCTGTACGCTGGCTGACAGTTCGTCTAATATCACACTGAAGAGATAGGAGCTTAAGACGGAGCCCTGATGCACGCCTACGGTTATGGGGAAGGGGGTGGTATCACCAACAGCGGTCCTGAATATTGAATCGGAGTTGCGGTACATGTCACGTACGATTTCCACGTAGGTCTCTGGTACCAACATCAACCGCAACGTCCTCTGGATCATCTGCCTAGGAACACAGGCAAAGGCCTTCTGCAGGTCTAGGAATAAAAAATGCAGAGGCATATTCTTTTCCCAGTGCTTCTCCATGAGGATCCTTAGGGCGAATATAGGGTCCATGGTACCGCGTCCTGGTTGGACACCGTAGTGGGAGTATGATACTGTACACTCCTGTCGGATCCTGGTGTCAATAATGCGTTCGAAGAGCTTCATGGTGTGTGACGTCACCTTTATACCGCGGTAATTACCGCAATCCGAACGGACCCTTTACCCTTGTGGACCGGCGTTATTATACTAAGCCGCCACTGATCGGGTATTATTCGGTCGCTCAGGATTCTATTATAAAGGTTAGTAAGAATGTATATACCACGAGCCCCCAGCGCTTTCCACGCTTCAATTGGCACCTCGTCCGGTCCGACAGCCTTTCGATTCTCCATGTGACGAAGAGATGCGAGTACCTTGTCAGGCGTAATCGGTGGCACGAGTCCATGGTTCGGGAGTTGTTCGTGAGGGTGCCCTTCCCGATGCTGAGTATTCAGCAAAACGTGGAAATAAGAACGCCATCTCTCCTTCACCGCACGATCATCCTACAGGAGCTCGTCATTAGGGCCGTTGACGCTGCAGCAGCGAGTAATATCTTGCGCTGCTTTGGCCCTAGAGCGCGCCAGTTTATATATGAGCTTGTGCCCCTCTGGAGTGTCCAACTTAGCGTATAATGGTTGCAAGTGGTCACGCCTGGCTGTGGCTACAGCTTTCTTGGCAGCTCTTTTCGTTGTCTTGTAAGATGCGCGATCTTTAGGAGATTTGGTCGCTTGCCACGTCTTGAAAAACGCTTTCTTCTCCCGTAATGAACCCTGGACTGTGGCGTCTCACCACCAGATCTCCTTGTCGATTTTGCGACCCCCTTTCGCCACGCCCAGGACTTGCTTTGCCGTCTTTGTGATTGCTGTCTGAATGGTTTTCCAGCACTCTTAGACAGACTTGCCTGCTGTGTCGAGACTAATATCCCCAGCGGCAGAGTCAAACTCTGAGTATCTGGTTTGATCCAACAGCCACCACTTAATTTGACGGCGGCAACGTTCGGCGTCTCTGCGACGGGGTTTTACGCAGAGGTCCATGACAAGAAGTCGGTGTTGGGCAGTGAGACACTCACCGGGTATGACCTTACAGTTGGCCACGCGACTGATATGACTTCCCCTGGTCAGTAGATAGTCGATTTGAGTGGCGTTCCGACCGCTCCTGTAGGTAATCAGGTGCTCGGTTTTCTTTTTGAAGAACGTGTTCACCACGGCCAGGTCAGCTGCAGTCCAGGTTCTGAGAATGGTTTCCCCCTCTGCGTTTCTTCGGCCGTAACCATAGCCGCGGTGGACACGTTCATACTCCCCCTGCACCTCGCCCACATGACCATTTAGGTCGCCATCCAAAACGACATCGTGGGACAACGGTATGCCGCATAGTACATCTCCGAGCCGATCCCAAAACAGCGTTTTATCCGCGTCGCTGCAGCCGACCTGTGGGGCGTAGGCACCTATTAAGTGGGTCACGACCCTCTCAATAAGCAACCTTACTACCATAAGTCGGTCGCATATGCGTCTAACTTCCAAGACACTATCGTGGAAATGCTCGGCGAGCACCACTGCCACACCGTTCTCTCCACCAGAAGAGCCTGTATAGATCAGCTTGTAGCCGTGCCCAATATTTCGGCTCCTGTTGGCTTTCTACCGCGTCTCCTGCAGGAACGCCACTGCCACTTTACGCCTGGCAAGTATGGCCGCAAGTTCTGTGGAGCGTCCCGTAAGCGTGCCAATGTTCCAGTTTGCAAAGCGAATCTTCGTAGTTGGTGCTAACGTCTTTAGCCGGGCTCTTACGGGGCCCGGTAGCCCTCGCATACTTGTCTCAGGGTTAAGGCGATCCCCATGCGCGTCGTTATGCGACGACGCCCTAGTCCTAAACGTATATCTCTTTCTTTTACTTTCCATTTTTAAGTGGCTTAGTGCCAATTACCGGGGCGACTGCCGTCTGACCCCCGAACCCCTAGGACGAATCCCAGAGGAGTGGCATCGCCAGATCCCTTTCCGTTGTCCAGCAGGTGCGCCACATGCAGGCGGGATTGGCTTGGGCTCCAAGATCTTAGCGGAGCCCCTTACACCCAAATGCAGCATGGCTCTACCACGTATAAAAAATGAATTTAATCAATATATATATATATATATGTATATATTAATAAAAAAGAAAGATTGATTGAAATTAATAAAGATTATATAAACATCGTAGTTAACTAATACCACAAGAACTGCAGATGCATTGATACGTTCTTTCACTTAAAATTTTTAAATTAAAAGATGGTTTCCAATCTCGGAGCCCCACAGAACAACACAGACTGTTGGAAGAACCTCAGTGCGGTCCGATGCAAGGAACCATGGTTGTCAGCCACCCATTGAATAGTTTGTAATAACATAACATACTATCGAAACTCACAGTGAAGAACAATAATCATTAAGCGAAATAAAAATATGGTCACACAGTCCACCTGATGGCAAGTAGATACTATGGCCCCTTGGTCATTTATTTTGAATTAAGAATGAAAATGCAGTGCGTTTTCATCCGTGAGGATTTGCTATTATATTATATTATTATATTTAATTGCTACTTTACGCTGGTTGTACTGTGAATGTACGGTTCTTCCCCAGTTGAGCAGATCCAATCTAGCTACAATTATAATGCAGATGCAACGTTACTTTACCGCCTATAAATTGTTCATATTAATAAAACCATAAATAACATTATACTCTCTAAATTTTGCGTTAGTTACACAAATACTAGCATTTTGCATTCCAAGTTTGCTAAGTTTAATAAAACAAACGGAATAAACTTAAATATTTCAGATTGGCGAACGGTCCTTCACAGTTCGATAATCGAGCTTTTAACCTTCGTGATGAAGAACTCAGAAACAAATTCGGGATCGGGACACCAAGAATGGGCGGTTTCGGGATCCGAGACGTCACTTTCAACGATCGAAATTTCTCCGATGGGGAATTTAATGATAGGAAATTCCCCGATAAAAATTTCACCGATAGAAATTTCACCGATCAAAATTTTAACGATCCGAATTTTACTGAACGCAAGGATGGAAAACTTTCGACATCCAGTTTTCATAGAGAGAGGGAGCGCGAAAATCCACTCGTCAGTAGAAACAGCTTCAACGGTTTCCCTCGAGTTGGTACGAGAGATAACCATTTTCAAATCAACCCGGACGGACGAAACAAGCGAGTGTCCGAATTTGAATGCGATATTTGAACACTGAGAAACATTTAAATGTGTTCAAAATAGTAATGTCCAATATAGAACTTATAAAGGGTCATCAGGGAATACGCTTGGGGCTGCAACTATTCAAATATTATATCGCGTCAATTTGTGTGAATTTAAGAGAAAAGACTGTAGCATTATTCGTTCTTTAGATCTTTTACTTGTTCTTTTCACTATTTTTGTATTCCGTGTTTAGAATGTTGTATATTTTATCAGTGATTAGAGCCTTTTTTGGTTTTGAAAGCACATTTTTGATATTACTTTGGTTTTTCGGCATACAAGTGGGAACATGACAATTTGCTTTAAAGTTCGAGTTCAGACTCGAATCGAATCGAATCGAATCGAAGAATATACTCTGTATATAGATGTTAATTTATAGCAGTATTCTTTTGCAGTGTGTACACACGATAGTTATTGTAAATAAAATGTGGTTTTGTATGATATGAGAGACACGCGCTACGAACATGATTTTGTAAAAGTATTAGTATGAGTGTACAGTAATAGCAGTTATCGGAATTTTTAATTTCCTATCCAATTCACGTATTATAAAAATTATTTAACTACTAATTCATAGAATTATGGCGCCGATATTTTTGTAAATGAAATATATATCCTGTTAAAATATTGTTATATAAAATGAAATATATAGTGAAATGTTGGACTGTAATGGTGCTAAAAGCTATAACTGTGTTATTAAAATATCGTTAACAAAAATATTGTGACACATTTTATCAATGTGTTTATAACACATTTATAGTATAATAAATACCTGTATTTGTTTATCTTCAGATTCCTCAACCTCAGTTTAACATTACTTTCTAGTCTCTAAAAATGTATGATTTTATTGGATTGTTACAAAATAGTAAATTTTGTGTAAGAATGAAAGATTTATTTTATTATAAATATAAGAAACTTGTAAAACTTATCTTATGTGTTTTATTTAAAACAAACTTTTGTTATCAAGATATACTAGACACATTCAATTCACATAAACATACAATAATAAAAACTTTTTTACGCTTGATATTATTTGGCCAATCAATGAGAAATACAAATTAAATATCTGATAAAATCATAAGAAAAAGAACAATATAGTATTTCGATAAACGTCTATAAGTTCTCCTGCCTCTTATTTCGTATCAACGTAACATAAAACAGTTTAGTGAACAGAGTATGTATTTAATTTTTATTTAAATAATTTAATATTATACAAATCAATTAATATTAACTAATTAATTAAATATTTATTCAACATTAATAGCCTATAATATACATAAACCTTTAACCCTGCTTGCCGGTCTGACATTTAGATTAATTACGGATATTTTTTAGAGTGAGTGTTTACGACTGTTTTCCTGAGGCGTGGGAACTCCACAGGGGTATACCGTAAGGTACGGTACTTTGATTTTGGGATATTTTTTAAAAATTGGAGAGAATGTGTTCAGTCGGGTCTAGCCTTATTTTGAAACAAATGTATTTAGAAGCGCTGTGATCTCTCTGTAACAGAATTCATGAGTTGGTTTAGTAGAATTCGCCGCTCCATATCATCCAGTGGGTGTCGTAGGAGGTGACTGAAATGAAACAGGCAGTAGACATCAGGGTCTTCCGCATAATAAGAAAACATAAAGAGCTGAGTTTTGTCAACACGTTTGTCAAGCGAGGGTAATTTTCCCTCTGTGAGGCAATCTATGGGGTAAGTCTAAAACAAGTTGTGGACTTTTGATAGGCTGTTAAGAATGAATCAAAGAAATATCTAAGGTTCTCCTTCTTCTTCTTAGGTCCCTTCTCTGTGAAGGTTGGCTACCATCGTGGCTATCTTCATCTTTGAAGCTGCAGCACGCGAGAGAGAGAGAGAGAGAGAGAGAGAGAGAAAGAGTGCTGAGGTTAAACAAATCACGAAGGTTCTTCAGCCAGGATGTTTTTCTTCTGCTAGGTTGGTGTTATCTCTCGATTTTTCCTTAAATCACAAGCTGAAGAATACGATATTTGTGTTCTCCTATTAATATGTGTCCAAAATAGTGCAGCTTCCTCTCCTTCACTGTACTCATTATCTCCAACTTCTTATTCATTTGACGCAGAGCCTCAACATTTGTTATTCTCATAGTCCAGGATATTCGGAGCATACGTCTGTATACCCACATTTCAAATGCTTTAAGTTTCAAGAACATAATATCGAGGTCCATCTTTCGACTTCATAAAGTAGGACATTGACTTAACAGCGCACCAGAATATATAATATGGTTTCCTCACACCTAGAACAATCCTATTCTTACTGCTAATACAAACATACATACAATATATTGAATACTCAACCACTTTATTCTAAAATATTTAAATGAATTATTGAACATGGGAGAATTCAGAGGATGCTTTGGGTATATTTTGTGACCTTTCCAAGGGCTTCGACTGTGTTCACCATGAGACAATAATCAGGAATACAGTACTGTGGTAAAAGAACATAAGTCAATCTTTATTTGCAAGAATTACAGTATATATAAAAGGATGTTACAATTTATGTAGTGCAGTACAAATTTTAATTTAAAAATGTTCATATTATGACAATATTAATTAATTACTATTTATAAAAACGTTTTAAGTTATAAGCAGGAAATAGAGTAAATGGAGCCCTACACTCTATTGTGAAGAGTCAAAATGTGTCGAAAAAGTATGGCACGTAAGCCAATTTAAAATGTTGTGTTGGTCCCTACTTTAACGTATGGTAGTGAAAGTTGGGTGTGGCAGAAGAAGCACGAGAGTAGAATGATGGCAGTTTAAATGCGGTCGTTAAGGAGTATGTTAGGACTGAATCTGAATGACAGGGTGAGAAATTGTGTGATAAGAGAAGAGTGTGGTTTGCAAGATGATGTTGTGACCAGGATTAAGAAAGGAATGCGTCGGTGGTTTGGTCATGTGGAAAGAATGAATGAGGAAGGAGTAACAAAGTAAAAAAAAAAAAATTATGTTGCAGAAGTGAATGGCAGAGTCGGAAAGGGACGTCCTCGGCGAAAATTTGTCGACCAAATTGGCGATTTATTGAAAACGGGCCAAATTAGGAGTACCCTTAACCGACGAGCATGTATACGTAGGTGTATGGATGTTAAGGAGGCGAGAGAGGTGTGTCAGGATCGTGCCAAATGGAAGTCTCTGCCTACCCCTCTGGGTGACAGGCGTGGGTGTTTATGATATGATGATTATGATATGATTTTAAGTTATAAAGGCATTCAATTGTTAACCAATCACACAAATATTTCATTTATTTAAAGGGAAATAGTAAAAATACTACCTCAAATGGCTTAGTAAGATCCTCCGCTATGCCGAAAATATTACAGCATTAATTTAATTAAATTAATTAGATCATGAAACTTTGCATACTAACTATAAAGCAGGGCTTATGTTTTTTTATTACTATTGTTTTCACTTTAAAAAGAAATTACCTAAACTGTCGGCGTCTTGAAGCTTGTTTCCTGTTTTTGCCGCCCGATCAGTCTTGCTTCGGCTTTCGGACGCAAAAGGACGACGTAAAATTAAAATGGGAAATAACCGTAATAAAAATCAGAAGCGACTGGGTTGGCGTAAAGAAATAGGCATAAATATAATAAACCAAATGAAAGAAGTATCTAACAACCTATCTACTTAAAGTATTAGTGATTACAAACATGTTTTTTTATAGGATAGGGTGACAAACTAGCGCAGTCCACGTGATGGTAAGTGGTTGTTGCGGCCGATAGACATCTACATCAATCCTCGATCACAAATAAAAATGCAGATGCGTTATCACCCGTGAAAACTAACATGGAATGTCTGTTTCCATTAAAAAGTGTCTCCGGTTCTCTACACTCACCATACGAAACACAGCAGCGTTAAGCTGCTATTTCACACTGATATTCTGTGAGAGCGAGGTCCTTCCCCGTTTGAGCCGACCCAATCGTGCTACAACTATACTACTATGTAACTGCAGCATGGCTCTACCACGTATAAAATTTATGTCGGTAGAGTTTTTATTCGGTCTTAGCTCGTTACATAGCATACGACGCACGGGGAAGTGAGGGCGGAATTAGAATTCGAGCTGAGTAACTATAGTATATATAATATAGTATTCTATATAAAATTTTTGAATTTAGTTAGTTTAATATATATTTTCACACGCATATTTAGACAATTTTTGTTATATTTAACGAGCCTAGGAATGACATATTGGACAAGTTTGTCTGGGTCACATTGGTTTTGGGAATGTATATATGTCACATGTCAACTTCATAAATGTACAGTGACGGGAGGGCAAATATATTTACATCTTTGCGGAAGGGGTAATATACCAAGTCCTTTAAATTCTGGCGATATCCCGCACATTGCACGAATACATTTTTTTAGGCAACGCATGCTCTGTTTCGGTCAGTACCATTACCAAATATTATAAGCTCATAGCGTAAAATATAGTCTAAGCGTAAAATAGACTCTACGTATGCGTAGTATGTTGCAATTGCCGTTATATACAAATTGTACATAATAATTTTTATCTCGAAATGTTTTCAAATTATTCATGCCAAGCCATTCTATTAAACTATTGTTAATGTCGTTTTCATGATACCGAATTTTATTATGATTATTACTAAAACTCACAATAATTGAAATGTCATCAGCGTATAGTAAGGCTTCTGCAAGAATACTTTTGTATCTCGAAAGCTGAATCCGCGGTGGAATATCAAATTCGCATTGTGTTAAATTTGATTCTCAATTGAGCGCAGAATCGAGACGAACTGTCTTGAGTGAGAATGTTGACATTTGAAGTATGTATTATATATTTTATATATTAATATATATGGAAAATTTGAGTTTCGTCACAGGCGAAGCGCGAATTCACCTGTCATTTTAAAAGTTGTGCGGGAGCTATCGAGTTGTTTTCGAAGTAGTGCTTAGAATAAATTTTAACAATGTAATTTGGTTTTACATAAATTTTAAGTAGAAATAGTAGAATGGCTCATTCCTTCATA